ACAAAAATAATAAAAGCCAAGCTAGAAATTAAAAGCAGCAACAAATCACTCAAACCCTAGGGAAACAAAACAAAGTCAGATAACAAGCAACAGAGATATCTCATAAACAATATGCAATCTGGAAAAGGTGAGTTTTTTGTTTAGATTTGAAGGTATGAAAGGAGTCAGAGATCCGGATGATTTGTGGTAGAGAATTCCAGAGGCGAGGAGCAGAGCAACTGAAGGATCTGAGGCCCATGGAGGTGAGACGGAAGCATAGAATGGTAACGGAGGATGATGGTGATGGTGGCGTCACTTCCTTGTATCCGTGGATAAAAGGAAGTGATGCCACCAACACCGGTGATCTCTGATAATGGCTAGAGATACTAGATGAAACATGCCAGGTGAAAAATAAATTTTTTTACTAAACTGTAAAAAAAAAGAACAATAAAATGTATAATGAAGACAAACATGAAATGGTTATACAAAAGAGTTACACAGAGGACACAGCTAGCGTTCAAAGAGGCCTTTCCCGAGGCTAGCTTCTAGTACCCGTTTGTGGCTCTGATGCTCATTAATTATTAATAATTTTATTCCACTGAAACAGAAGAGTTACAAAAATGCACCCCCATCAGAGTCGTCATGGGTGTAAACTAGATTTATTAAACCTAAAATGTTGTTTGAACCAGGCTGAAAACATGTTTAGTTCTGCTGTTAAATTGGCATTTTTAACATGGGAATCAATGGGTTGACTCTGTTTTGGAGCCACCCCCTTCTTAAAGGGGTACATTTAAGGAACCATATTAGACCCGTTTCCAGTAAGGCCTGTGCCTGGACTGGGCTGCCCTTTGTCATCGGTTCTGTTTATTGTCCTTATGGACAGAATTTGTAGGCATAACCATGTGATGGAGGGTGTTCACTCTTCCTTCTCCTGCATCACCTACAGTCTCTTTTACTCTGATAGAGACTGTGAAAAGTTCCTGTCTTTCTTTGTGAATTAAGTCAATAAGGTTAGGACTCTCTTTCAGCCTTATCTCTGCCTGTTCGGACTCTCAACCAGCCTGTTATATAGATAGCTTTGCTCGTGTTTCTTTGCCTGAGCTAACCAAACTAGTTCACTCTATGAAGACCTCTGCACACCCCTTGACATCTTACCCTCATCTTTGTTTTAAAATGCTTTTCAGTCCATTGGTCCCACCATGCTCCATGAGACAAGAGGTTTAGAGAGAAGCTTAAAATCTTTATTGAAGAGAAAATGAAAGTTATTAAAAGCCCATATGAGCTCTGGGATGACAGAAAACGTTGGTCCGCATCACAGGTCAGTCACCGTTCGAAGCATCTTTAGGGTACCAGCCCTCTCTGTCTCCTCTACAGACTTCCACAGCCATTACAGTGCCGCAGTTCCTCAGGGGTGCCAGGCGTGCATGGGTTTCTACCCAGGCAGCGCTGGGTAGGACAGCAAGCAGAAATAAGTAGTTGGCTGATCGCCGGCAGCGACCAGCGCTTGCTTACTCCCCAGGACAGCGGGTTTGGTTGTCATCAAAAGACATTCCTCTGAAGGCAGCCAACCGCAAGCTCACACCTCGATTTCTGGGACCATTTGAAATACTGGATGTACCAACACCTTCCACTGTGCGTCTGGACCTTCCACGAACTCTAAAGGTACATCCAGTGTTCCATGTGTCATTGGTGAAACCTCTAGGCTCCAGTCCGCTGTGCCCGGTTCCTGCACCTCCCCCTCCGGCTAGACTCTACAAGGGAGGGTTGGTGTACACGGTCAACCGGATTCTGGACTCTCGGCCCCATGGGAGGGGCGTACAGTATCTGGTTGACTGGGAGGGATATGGACCGGAGGAACGTTCGTGGGTTCCTTGCTCATTCATCGGAGACCCTTCCCTCCTACGAGAATATGAAGATTCGGTTAGGACGCCAGGGGGTGTCCGTTGAGGGGGGGGGGGGGGGGGGGGGGGTACTGTCATGAGCCGGGGTGAGTACTCTCATTTCAACTTACCATCGTTGAGTCTCTTGCCAGGAGAGGGAGTGCCCCAGCTGTTCCTGATCAGCAATCAGCGGGGTGTTTCCTATTTAAGGTGGATGGTGGACACAATTCAACGCCGGAAGAGTGCCTCAGCTTGGTAGTACCCAGCCACTTGTGTTTAACCTCTAGTATCTCTAGGATTCTTGTGCTTATAGTGTTTGCTCTAGGTATTTTTGGATTTTTGACTTTTGCTACCACCTGGAACTTATTTTGGATTATCTCCCTTCTTCAGGATTCCTGTTTGTTCTCTGGTCGCTAGCTTTTGGATACCTACCTCTGGACTCCAGGATTTGGATACTCTGCACGCGGACCAAATCACCAATCTCCATAACTCTCCTTTCTCATCTCAACCCAGTGCCCCAGCCACCAGGACGCCCCGCTTACCTCCACCTGTGCTCCCTCTCCTGCGCTTCCCCCGGCTCTCAGCCTGCTCCCTCCTCCAGCCAGCAATCTCTCGTCCCACAACGCAGAGCTGTCGTAGCAGTTCCAGCCACAGATATTCTGTGCATCCTCAGTTCCTTCTTAAAATAAAACATTTTTTTACCCTGTTCTTGGTCTGTGTTGTGTTCTGCATGTCTTGGGTTAGGTACCTTCCCCCAAACATGACAGGCATGCTAATAGCAGTGGAGCAGTTAGCTCTGACGAGCAGAGCCACTTCATTGTTTACATCACCTCTGGGTGATGACCAAAGAAAGTGGATAAATCCTCACAGCAACTGCAAAGCCGGGTAGGTCTTCATTAATCAGTGTCCTTATGTCTTTATTTATTTATTATTATAACGATCGTGGATTGAGATGACTGAATCAGAACGCAAAAACAACAGGCCTCCGTGGATTAAAAAAAACACAAATATGAATGTTTTTAAAACATCTTCTCTAATTAACAAATACGTAGTCACAAGGTCTTACCAAGAACTAAATGAGCCTGAGTCTGTTGCTGCAGGAGTCCAGGCTTTCTTCAGAGTCCGGGTCGCTTCCTATCATTTCTTTCGTATTTCACAGTCGTTTACAGAAGAAATTCCAATAAAACTTTTTATCAAGGCTCCCACGGGCTGAACTATCAACCACACAACCAGAATGATCCATCCACTTCACGAAATCCTCTTCCACACATGCAGAACAACCAAATTATAGGCAAAATACGTAGTTTGTTGCCACACACTCCTGTGATGCAATGTTAAAAACAAACACTGACGTCACAAAAGATTCTCCTATACCCCACAGCTGCATGCCAATCAGATACTTTGATTTTACATTTATAGATAACTGATTCTACTTTTTTGACAAATAAAATAAGAAATACAAATCAAATAGTGTGACCACTGTGGTAAGAATTTCCGATGCACCAGGGGAAGATTTTGCTCACAGTTTTAAAACATTTTTTTTCAGTTTTTCATTTTAATGAGAAGAGTGGAACCATAACATGCATTACTTCCCGTGAGTCAAAATATGTTTCTTTCCAAAACTCTTCAAAGCACAAAGTTTATGTGTTCATGAAGTTCCCTCAAAGGTTTCACTGGTGTGTTGCTGCAATCAGCAAGAAAAACTGGCAAACTGTTCACTTTATGAAGATGTCAAACAAAAATCCTGTAAATTCCAGTTTTACCTATGACGCTCCACATTAATCCACAGTGTAAATGGTTGTGTGTCAGAATTAGCACATTGTGTGTTCAGCTCATTGTGTTTAGGAAAATATCAGAACATTAAAGGTGCCTGGGAGAAATCTTCAGTACGTCTGCTGCTGAGCTGGTGCTGTTTAAAAGGAGAGGCGTGCATTGGATGATAGAATGAAGTCCAGGGGAGGAAAAGGAGTAAGAAAATACTCAATGATGAAAGCCAGACAGTGAGTGGTTCTGTGGGTTGAAGCAGAGTAGTGACTCTAACATATTAGTTGATTACACTGAAGTGAAGAAAAAGACTTTTGCTGTTAAAACTGAGCTGACTCCACATTTCACGTGCAATCGTGCCTGAAGCCAGAATGTTTCAGAAACTATCAGGAATTTGATTTACCTTCCAAGTTTGGAATATTTTCTGTGTTTAAAACTGTAACTCATAAATGGAAAAAATATGTGAAACCAAATATTCACCCCTGCTCATTTAGAAAAAAGACTTGGTTCTACACCACATCGTACTCAGCAAAAACATTTTGTGCATTGTGAAGCACATTCATGCCAAGCATGTAGGTGGCAGTAGTTAATTGTCAGTACCTTTGCGAAAGAAATTCCTTGAATGTGGAATAACAAGGTGGTGGGCAAATAAAGATCCTTAAAGAGCAAGTAACGTCTAAATTAACTTTTTTTTGCTGATGAACTGTATAAATGAGTGTCTTAATAGTGTTTTAAATGTGTGCATTCTTTATTTTAGCATTTTGGTGCATTTTCTTTAAAAATTAAAAATTCTGTCTAAAAACCACAGTAATGCGCCACCTTCAGCTGAAAACATAGAATTTTAGTCATTTTGAATAAATTTTAGCCAATGGCTAAAGAGTAAAGTACTACGTAAACCAGTAGAGTACTACGTAGCAGCTCCGTGCCAAAGTTATAAAAGCAACGAGCGTCTCGGCCACGCCCTGTGGCGAGTGGGAGTTGGATTTGCAAGCGAGCATAGGAGGTCAGCGGTAGTTCAGCATTAGCATATAGCATTAGCATATCCTAGTCTTAGCATATCTTTTAGTGTTATAAATACTTATTTAGTGTTAGATTTGGCTGTTGGATATTGTAGTTGAGTTAGTGTTTGGCTGTTAGTGTAATTGGGAAAGTATTTCTGGTTTAGTGTTCCATATCGTCTTAGTATTGGTGAGTAGGTGTAGTGTAGTATGCTTGCGGTGACTCTGTGGGCATTTTACCCGCGATTCTGCGCGCCTCCGTTTGAAGAGGGAGGCTGCCCACCGTGGCTCTTCCGCGATTTAGATGCAGCCCACCGACTCTGCTCCCCCACCACGGCGGGCTCCAGTCTGAGGTGAGTCAGCTAAATAAACGTTTTAACATCTTCTAAAGACAATTGCCTACCTAAATGCAAAGTCTGAGAGACGTGGTTCACTTCCTTTAGCTAGTCAGTCGGCAATTCTGCAACAGTGTCTCTAACTAACGCTGCACTAGTTGACAGACAGCATTACAGCGTGAAATCCAGCTTGTGAACAGGTTCTGTAAGGAATTCTGTTCAGGAGGTCGCATTTCAGGCTCTCCACATCATATGTGATGGACTTTTACGTTATAACAACGATCACACACTAGGAATGTTATAAAGCGCCTATATAGGAGATTCTTTTATATATTATCTGACTTTATAAACTCCAACAACAATGTGCTTCTATTTTTTTTTCCAGGCTAAATCTACCCAAGACACTGGCTGTCAGACTGATTTAGCTGCATGAATGTACTTGTCCAGGCTGATGTGAAACCTTCCCTGTAGCAAAGGTGAATTATTTTTAATAATCTTCTATGTAAACATTTTATTATCACCTTCTAGTTTTAATTTGTTTTACAGATTATTTTTACACGTGATTTTATGCTCTTTTAAACATTTATAAATGTGCTGCTTCTTTGTTTTTACATAGCCATCCAGTTTAGAGCTCACAGCCGCAGTGTGTCTGGTGACCCACAGGGACCATGATGAAAATTCATCTTCCAGAAGGTCCCAGAGCGTCCAGACCCCCTGAAAAGACCAAGATGTGAGGTGTCTGCTGTTGATTCCAGCTTCCACCTCAGTGACAGTGCAAGCTCAGTGAACTGTTCAAGGTTAAAAAAAAAATTAAAACATTTCAGAATTTTTAAGATATTAACAATTAAATAAGTATGTGATTACATCATGAAGGAGGCTACCGATTCTGCCCCTGTGACACTTGGTGGTGACGTGTGAGCTGATTCTCCTGGAAAATAACTTTTACATTAAATATTTTGTTTTTGCTATCAAAAGTAAATTAACTAACATGCATTATTGCAGGACACTCAGCAAAATATAGACTCTACACCATGAGGCATGCACACATTAATATTCTATAAGAGCACATAAGGTGAGCAACACCACATATTGTACACTGTCCTGAATTTGTTTTCTTTCTGCATCTCATTAGCCTGGCTGATCACCTGATAACTCCTGTCATCTGGTTATGACAGCATGAGGATGTCCTCACACACCTGTAACCTATCAGCTCATCCTGCTGAATAGAGAGAGAAGAGACCACACCACATCTCCTGTTCCTGGAAAGCCTTCAGCCATCCTTCGATGACTGAGAACCTCCATCAGCTCTGTCTCCTGTCTGCCTACAATTATTATAATAAATATTGTGTTTGACAAGTTTTTTGTGCTGCCAAATATCTCATTTAGATTCGTTTTGATATTTTAATGGATATTTATAAATTACATTGAATATCACATTTTTGTTGCATGTTTAACTAGCTCTATTGTGATTAATTAAGCTAGCACCTCACTGTTAAAAGCTCGTTCTAATTTCAAGCATGTTTAAGTATTTATGGACATGAACAAAAACAGGAAATATATAAATTGAGATTTATTTAATTAATATAACAAATAAGGGGGAAAGAGTCATTGAAAGGCACGTTCTTCTGAAAGTTCCTGATCCTGATGACACCAGCAGAGGAGACCAGCTGCAGACACCAGAGACCAGCTGCAGACACCAGAGGACCTAGAACCAAGAGAGCAGCTGTTATCAGTAAATAAAGAAATCAGGGCAGTTTTAGTGGGCTGAACACATTACAGAATAATTTTCTCATGGGGTATTTTCATAACTTTATATGCAGCAGACTGTAACTTGAGCCCAGAGCTACCGGAGAGCTGCTATCCAGCACGTTTCAGTGGTTTTCCTGCTTTAACAGGTTAGATTAACTGTTAAGCAGCTCAGCTATTTGTTGCTGATTAAAACCAGGTGTGCTGAAGCAGATAAACCTCTAAAACATGCTGAATACTAGCTTTTTAGGGCCGTGGAGACAAACCCTGCAGCTAATCCAATGCTATGGCTAACGGCTACTTACCTTTCAGAGGTGATTCTGTTGGGTCGGTTCTGGGAGTTTCAGGCAACTCACAAGCTCAAAACAATAAGACTCAGGTCCGCTTGTCTCCTCCAAATAGACTTGGTCCCTTTCTTCTCGAGTGTCTGTGTAAGGAGGGGGAGAAACGTCCTCCACTTCTAATAACTGCTCAGAGTGAAGGGAGCTAGCTTCGTCTAGTTAGCCATCGTCTTCGTCACTGCCGCGGCTCCGCCCTCTCGGTCCTCCAGGCAACGCCTACTAATGTTGCATTTTTTAAAATTGATACGTGGGTGGAGAAGGACTCCGAGGCTCAATTGACCCGCTCTTTAACTTTGTCCTAGCCTGTGGTCTTCTAGCGCAGTAATGGAGCTTTGAAAGTGTAAACACGAGTCACCCATTTGATGTCAGAGCATTTTTGTCACAAGCAGTGATGTTATGAAACCTAAAACCCTGGTTATTTACGTCCACAAGCAAATGCTGATAACAGAGGATGAACAAATCTCCACTTTGCTTGGAGTTTTTAAAAAAAGATACTTTTTGGTGGTGTGTTCCTTCATGTAGAAAAATATCCTAGTTTTGTGGGATACATGTGTACAGGGTCTAAGACTTAAAAGGGAGCTAGAGTCTGACATCTTCTCACAAATATCCAGTCCATTTCACATTGAAGGTCAGAAATTACAAACTTGATGATGTGATTTTGTTGGGTATTGCTGCACAGTTGTCCGATGAAAAAAGGAAAGCAGGGAAATGAGCACAAAACCCTTGGGGCCACCAGTTCTTAGTGTACTCGTACTGAAGATATTCCCCATCTGGACTTAGCATAGACCCTTTGTCACAAAGTCTATGACCCAGTTATGTGGGGTGCTCTGGCCATGCAGACTAACATTACAAGGTAGCGCGACTCATGTTGCGAATGACCGCAGTCACCAATTCTTGTCATGTGTCTTACCCATGTATGTCTGATCTTTGAATTGTGTGCACTGAAACTCAATTTCGTTTCTCTGTATGTCCTGCACATGTGGTAGAAATGACAATAAATGACTTTGACTTGACTTGACTTGACTTGATTACAAGTCAGGTATTGGTGAATGACTGTTAAATTGTGAACTGAACAACAGCCAGTCTTGAGAGATTTTATATTCCAGGTGAGTCAGGATCAGATGTAGGGTGTTTATTTATTTTATGTGTTTCTATTTATTTCTTAGCCCCTACACCCCCAGCAGGTCCCTGAGGTCCAGTGATCAAAGCCTACTGGTTGTGCAGCACCAGGCTAAAGACCAAAGGTGACAGATCATTTGCTGCTGTGGCCTCCAGACTCTGGAACTCTCTCCCCCGAGCCTGAGATCAGTGGACTCAGTGGTCTCCTTTAAAAAGCAGCAGAAACTCACTTGTTCAGGCTGGCTTTTGTGTGACCTCCTGTTCATCCTTCTCTTCCTCAGCTGGTGTTTCCGTAAATCCAGAATTTTTGGGCTGTTTACTTTTTTCATGTTTATTCCTTTTTTTAAACTAAATTTTTCATCTTCTCCCCCATTTTTAAGATCTATTTTTTAGCCATGTTTAAATTTTTTTATTGTTTCTTGTGAAGCGCTTTGTGATTTTTATCATAAGAGGTGCTGTATAAAAAAAATCATATTTATGTTAACCTAAGAAGTGAATGGATCTGTGCACAATCTTTTGAATTGCAGCATTTCTTCTATTCCTGGTGCCCTGAGATGAAATTTGTTTTGAATTAACACCTCATGAAGGAAAAATGAATGGTGCTGTTTCATTTGACTACATCACTGTAATTTTCCACTGCTACATCCTATTAGCAAGTTTTTGTGTGTGCTGCTTGTTTTAATTCAGTTTGAGAGGCCAAGGCCTTTTTCACCAAGTTTTTATCTAACATGGACTCATTCTGGGTTTCAAAAAGTTTCTGTTCTGCAAGCTTTTTTTTTTAAATTATTTTATTTATTTATTTTTTTGTTCTCTGAGTAAAATAAAAATCCCTTCTGGGAATTCTGAATGCAGGCGACCTTTTTTGTGATAATCTGGTTTGTGTCACCTGCTGGAGTAAAATCAATGAAAACAGTACCTTACATGTAAACGGTAACGGTAATCTGCTAGTTTAACCAACCATGCATGGGGTTCAGTTTTAGATCTCCCAGCAGTCAGTATCCATTACAGCCAAAACATAAATGTCTGTGATGGAATTGGAACCAGAGTTTTTTTTTCTAAAAGGCAAAGTTGATGTAATTCAGCAAACTTGGTCCATTTCATCACAGATGAGAATAAAGCAGCTCTACAGAACACAAGTCAAGAACATTTTACAGTGTGACTCATTTCTTTACTCCAAAGCATTTGTCAAATTGCAACTTCCAGATGTTTCTGCTTTCAATTAACAACATTTGAATCATTTATTTACTATTCTTCACATAACTTTACGTCTATTAAGTGTTGTGTTTTTCCTGGAAATGCATTTTTTAGGGCAAATTAGAAGTTTACAGCCTTTACAAGTCAATAAAATATTGATTTGTTGCTTCTACTTGAAGTGATGTGTGAGCAGCATTTTACATCCATTTCTGTTGTCTGTCTCAATACTATAAAGAACTGGTCATCACAATCACAGTCTCTGATCAGTACTCTTTTTTGTAGGATCTATTTGTTCATAAGCATTAACAGATGGGAGCAAAAGAGCATTTTAATCTTCCTTTAAGGAAATAGCCACGGTATTTAAACCCAGTTCTATTTACATATATGATTTTAAAGCTGTAGTGTGACTTTTATAAGGAAAATGAGAGGTTCTTACATTTTATTTAATGAGCCGTAAGGCGTGGGATTCCGTAGGAAATATGAAATCCACCTTACGGATCTGTGGGTTATTTAAACCAGAAGATCGGATCTTTTTAATGCAGAGATTATGTAACCGTTATGTATTCACTCAGAGACAACAGAATAGAGAGAGTCAAGTTCAAAAGTTAAGAATTTTATTACTAACAATTTAAACTAGACTGACTTCAAAACTAAATGTATAGTGTAGCTAAAAATGGATGAGACGGTGAATGGATGACGTGTCATGTAAATCAGAACCAGCAAATCCGAAGAAGCGATTAGTTCTGATGGGAACTGAAGATGTTGTTTAGAAATAAGCTTGGGTTAGTTTCAGAACCTCATGGGACACCATCAAGCCGGGTCTACCTGTCTTGTGGAAGTCCTCTGGTAGATCAGGAATGCCGAGGTCCAGCGGACCCTCTCTGGAAACCGAGCTGGAAGAAGAAGCCGCAGTTCCGACCAGACCCGTCTTGAGTTACCTCCGACACACGACTCTTTTATTGGCGTCTGTTCAGACCCAGCCTGGGTCGGTGGAGCTCTTATTCTGAACGGAGCTGTTGTTGCTGCTGGTTGTTATAGCGACTGGATTTTTCAGCTTGTCGTGGTTCTTTCGGTTGAAGAGTTAAAGGTCGGATTGGCCACTCCGACGCTTGCTCTGGAACGCTTTTGAACTGGCGTTAGAGCTGACGTGGTATAGTTTTATACCTCGGATGTTATGGTTTATTGTCGAAAGAGAATTACCAAACACCGTCAGAAGCATGCCTCTGTCAGATCTGTAAAATTCTGATTGGATCAGTTAAAAAAAATGTATGTCCTTTTTAACACTACGTGAAATGAGTCCTGTTGGAATCCTTAAAGTCACAGTACTTCATTTCTAAGATCATAATAAAGTAATTAATATTTTAATTTCACAGGTCGGTCACATCTTATTATTGACTAACACTTTGATGGATTAGCTTTATTAAAATAGAGTTTTTTGATTAATTAAAGAAAAGAGTTCATTCTTCGTTCTTCTGTCTTCATTGCTGGAACATAAACAGTTTAGAAGCGAATGCATGACATTGAGGCTGTTTCATGCACTCTGGCACTGTGTCAAAAGGAAACAGCTGTTAGATAGTAGAAATGGCTCCTTCATCACGTTACATTTTATTAGAGGCATCTTTAGGAGATGTAGTAGTTGTTATTTAGAGCTCTCCGTTTGCATTTAAAAATCATAAGTTGTAATGACTTATCTAATGGTGTCTCTTAACTGCTAGTCTTACAGAAGACTCGCAAGGAGCACCCAGGCAACCGCCGCCACCCACTAGCCCCGAGGCAGAGGGCTCCACAGAGGAAACACTGAAATGAATAAAAAAAGTAATATGTAAAACAACAAGAGCTAATATGGATAGTAAAATAACTAATAAAAGTTGATAATGGAGATAATAAAACAATAAAACAGAAATGTGTAGCTAAACTGTACAAAATAAACTGATAAATAAAAACAAGCAATGCAGTTAAGCAGACTAAACAGTGATCAGTTAAAAGCTAAACTAAAAAGGTGGGTCTTGAACCTGTTTTTAAAACGTGAACATTCTCTATGGCCCTGAGGTACGGCCCTGTCTCCAACATGCCTTCATCTAAAAGGCTACTTTATCCAGAGTTATCTTTGTGTGTGTGTGCGTGCATGCGTGCGTGCGTGCGTGTGTGTGTGTGCGTGCGTGTGTGTGTGTGTTGTGTGTGTGCGTGCGTGTGTGTCTGCTCTGTCTTCTCGATCCCCAGTGAGTCGTGGCGGATGGCTATGGCGTCAGAATTCCTCCATATCTTGTGCACGCGTATTGTCCACATCGCTCGTGCGAACGGGACTCGCGCTTGGAAGTTAGAACCTCCACGAGTGAAGATATACATGGCGAGGAGGTCATTTGTACACTGAGAGGGAGCAAACTGTGTCTGTGAGTGCACAAGGATGTGCACAAGTGACAAACCTGCGTGCGCGCGTTGGCCAACGAGCACACAGCAGAGGAAAACATGCGCTCGGCAGCCTCACTGCGCATGTGGCAGCCTTTCTGCACGCTCGGTTTCTGATTCTGCTCACTCGGCTGTTGGGAGCTTTGGCACTCTGGAGGCGTGGAAGAATTAAAGTGCCAGAAATTGAGCACTTGAACTTTCAATTTGAGAGCAGAATTTCATATCAAGAGACCAACTTTTTAATATCAGAATAAGATTTTATATTATTGCTCTCAAAACTTGTAATGCTTGCGCTCAAAATGTCTGATCTCTTTCAGATTCACTCTGTTCTCCTTCAAATCTTTGTTTCTGCGCTCAGATTTAACCTTCTTACTCTGGTATTGTCTTCTCACGTGACAGCTTTTTCTCTGCACGGATCAAAACTCCTCCCACAAGTCTGTCCCCTGCTCTCACGGATTTTATCTGCTCTCACTCAAAACTTAAGCCTGATTTATGCTTCTCCGTCTGCGTCAGTGCGGAGACACGCAACGCCATTATCCGTCCTTGCGTAGGGCTCCGGCAGGCAAGCA